ACGGCCCAAGCTTCCCACTGCCGGAGGGAAAGTCACAGATGAGGAATGGGAAAGCTAGAATTGTTACGGGGTTGGGGTCTTGTCCAGGTTTCTTGATGCCCTAAACAAAGAACTGAGCAGGATCGGTAGCAGCAGGACAACGACGCATTTGAAAGAGAAAAGACGTTTCCCTCCACAGAGGGAGAGCAGGCTAGGGAGGAGAGCTGGGGCCCAAGGGGCTCAGCGCTGAGTTTCGCACCCAGGGTTGGGGTGGGGCTGGGGGTTTGGTCGGAGGCTGACTCAGCCCCTCCACTGGGCAGTGGAACTTGTGCCCTTCTGTGGCCCTTAGAGGCAATATCATGGTGCCCAAAGCCCACAGGGGTCAGTGGCATGATAATTAGGGTCAAGTGTTTCATAAGACTGCAGGGCGCATCTCGGGGACTGTGTGTCAGCTAAGTCTTCTGGTCACCTTGTCCCGTCATGTTTAGACCGGGGCATTCTGGACCCAGAATGTGTATCCAGTCCCAGAGACTGGGCTCTGAGGGGCCCTCCCTTCTTTCCCAGCCATTTCCTTGGTTACCTTAAGCCTCAGATCTAGCCCGGAAAGTGGGGTCTTAGCCATGTGGACCCTCGCTTCTTACTCCAGCCTTTTCCTTAGCTACTTCCTGGCTCAGAATGAAGTCAGTGGTGCTGGACTAGAAGCCCAAGGGTCAGGGCTGAAACAGTTTTGCATCTGTGCCATAAACACACGGAATCACCTGTGTTTGCATGTAGCTCAGCCCAGCTGTCACCCTTGGGCTCCCCAGCTCTGTGCACTGAGTGGGCTGGGAAGCACAGGCACCCCAGGGACCCCGAACACCCAAGCACCCCCATCTTGGCTTCTACATACCACCCTCCAACACTGAAAGGCTCCTTGGAGAAACGGCGTCAGGACTGGGACAGGGATGCTCAAGATGAGCTGGGACATCTTGTGCTGCCAGACAATGAGGAAGCCTGGAAAATGATGGCGCTGGTCAGAAGGGCACAGGAATGGAAGGACACAGCTCCTTGCGCCAAATTGGAAAACTCTCACAGTGAAAGGAATAACAATCACATGAGTTCTTCCTTCCAGTAGAACTGCTATGGTTAATGTAAAAGAAAGAACAAAGTCTCAAAATCATGCCTGTGGAAATGATCACTCAGGGATAACTGCAGCAGACAAGGTCCGGGGGTAGGCATGCATATTCGTGGGTGTTAAGTGTGAGAAGAAACAGGATTTGCACGGTGTCAAGCACCTCGCCAGGAGATGTGCTAGTGTAAAGGAAGGATGGCTGGTTCATGGTGGAGAGGCTGGGCAGACATGGACACCTCACAAGAGCTCAGCATTGCCTCTGGCGGGTTTTGCCTGGGTGGATTAAGAACTGGCTGTGTCTGGGTGTGTCCAAGAGGCATGACCTTGGGTACTATATCTCAGCCCTGACCCCTTCCCCTCTGTCACTGTTCCACTGCTCTGATTCCCAGCCACCATGGACTAAGAAGCTTGGCTCCACCATGCCCTTCCGCCATCTTGTTCTTGCCTTGGAGCCAGCCAACCATGGACTGATCCCCCCAAACCAGGAGCTAATTAAACTTCTCTTCCTTTAAGTGGTGGGTGTTGCGTCTCAGCAACAGGAAAGCTGACTAATATACTCCCCAAGATGTACAACCTCAGTCCAGTCTCAACAGAACTCGGGTCACCCCAAACTGGGGACCTTGGACGGGATAACCGATGGGAACTCTTGCCATGTGTCCCCGTCTGGAGGATAGAGACTGAGGCACTGTGACAGATTGGTGGGGACCAAGGAGATGTGACAAGTAAAGCAACATGGGATCCTGGATGGGATCCCGGAATGGAAGAAAGTGTTAGTGGAAAAAGGAGTGCAGTCGGAACAAGGTCTGTAGTGCAGCTCATGGTGTTGTCCGGCCTTCGCCTCACGGATGTGCCAATGCTCTAGGGTCAGGTAAGACATTAGTTAGTCTGAGGGGAAGTTGGTGAGAGAGAGGGATGCCATGCTATTTCTACAGCTCTGCTGTAAGTCTAAACTTAGCTCAGAATCAAATCTCAACAGCACCCTGAGTCCCCGCCAAACTGCCTGGGCTTGAATCTCTCCCCCGCTGGCCCCTGGTGCCTGGGGTCCCCTGCAACCCACTGGAAGGGGCGGGCTCCCGCCAGAGCTCTGAGGCTGGCACGGGGGTGGGGGCTGCAGTCTGGGCACAGGAAATCAGCTGCCAGGCTGCGCTGGAAGTTTTTAAATGTCTTTTTTAAAAGTACAGCAAGAACTGCCGACAAATCTGTGGCGGCACAGAAGGGCCCAGTGTTGCTTTTTTGTTTTTCGAGTGAAATCCCAAGAGACTGGTAGACCACACACAGGAGAGGGGACAGGGGCTTTTCAGGCAACTGGCAAGACTCAGCCAATAGCAACACAGGCTGGTGCTGCATCTCAGGGATGGGGAGAATCCCGCGTGCTGGCCAGAGCCCTGCCCTCGCTGAGCGGACACTGGCACTGTGGGCGGCGGGTGGGTGGGCGGCTCCAGCACCCACTCCTGCTGCCCCTGGCCTGGGAGGCCTGGGTGGCTCCTGCCCTGCTGTCTGGCCTCGTCTCTCTGACCCACTCCTTTCAGTGAGGCCCGGGCCCCTACGTTTCTGTCACCTCCCAGTAACAGCAGCGAATTAGGATCTTGCCAGTCCACTGGAGAAGTCCGAGCCGCGTGAGCCAGGTGCCTTCCCAAAGCCTCCGGGACAGAGCCTGCACCACGCCAGCCTTTGAGGACGTCCTAGATCCAAGCCACGTCCCCTGCAGCCCCACGGGCCCTGCCTGTGTAGGTGCTGGTTTGTAGGCTCCCTCCGAGGCCGCCCAGGGTGACAGGCTGAGAGCAGAGGAACAAAGGAGGGGACAGAATTTCCCGGCACTGCCCCATGGGTTGGGCATCTGATGACTGTTTCTATGTCTGCCGGCGCCACCGCGCTGTCCACCTCCAGCCCAGAGCCTGGCCAAAAGCAGTGTGAGAAGTTCACGTGTGTAAGCCCCGGGCCACACCTGTGCCCTGGCCGAGTGGTGCGTGGGTCTCTACCCAGGGAGGGGTGTAGACATCACTGGCCACCAGTGGACCCAAGGCGCTGTCCCGGGGCCGATAGGGTCTCGCCAGCTCTCCCCGGCAGATGCTTTGCATTTCTCTAGCAGAGGGCAGGGTCCCTCTGTCTCGGGCCCTCCAAACCCAGTGCCGGACTCCATGCTGGGAGGATGTGGATTTTACCACCCCATTTCCTGGAGGAGGGAAATCGAGGCTCATGGAGGTCACACTCTCATTGGTGCAGGCCCGTGTGGGATTCGAAAGGCTTTGTCACTCATCAGTGACATCAGTGCCTCCCAGGAGAGACCCAGGACGTGGATGGGGACTGAGGGTCAGCCCAGGTCAGGATGAATAAGTGAAGTGCAGTGGTGGCATCACCAGGTCCCTCCGCTGGGACAGACTGCACTGCACCGGAGCTGGCCTCGCGGCTCCGCACTCCCCCACACCCAGCAGCCTGCAGAGCTCCGCACTTGCAACTCTGCTGCACTGTGCACCTGTGAGTGTGTTGGAAATTCTGGGACAATTCGCAGACAAACCCCCTCCCTCCGCTCTCCCTTCCTTCCCTGACTTCAAAGCTCTGCTTCTCCACCACCTATTTGTCTTGAAGAAAAGAAGGGTGATTCTGCAGCGGAGAGGCCGGTGCTTACTAGTGTACAACCCTGTGGCTGAAATTCACAGCATGCATGGAGTTTCAGGACCAGGGCAGGCAGTGCAAACTAGAGGAATGAGTGGTCTGGAAAAATAAACAGGCCCAGCGAGCATGTTCAAATCTGACGGGCCTGGGGCGCTCTCAGCCTTCGAATACTCAGAGCCTTCAGCTTGGCCCATTTTGCAGATGAGAAAACTGGGCTGTGAGACCAAATGAGACTAGAATTCAGTGCTCCTGGCTCACTCTGTTTCCAGTTCTTGGGCCCACGCAGGCCCTGCCTCAGAGGGGGCTACAGCCCAGCCCACCTGGGGCTACCCCTCTACCCCAGGGAGAAGCCAGGCAGAGAATGCAAAGACCATTGCGGAGGGTTGGAAGTGTCCAGAAGAAAGGAAGAGAGCAGGGACTAATGAAAGGTTGGTGGGCACTGTCCTGCAGGTGGTTGGCCCGTGGTGAGGGGCAGTCGGGCCATTGGTGAGGGTTGAGCTGTGTGCGGTCAGTGCCCAGGTGGGACGCAGCTGGACTCGGGACAGGAAGGCCGCCTGACTGGAGCTGGGTGGATGGTAGTTGCGGCCCTGGATGAGTGGGCTTGGCTCAGCACCCCCTGCTGGGCGCTTCAAAGCTGGTGGCTGAGGGGGTGCAGGGAGGAAAGCGGCTAGTCACTAGGGGCCATTTCTGCTCAGGATGCCCAGGCGGAGAGCACCTGGTGGGGCGGGAGCTCCAGACCCCAGATGTGCAGGTGAGGGGAGGGTCCGGAGGTGAAGGTGAGCCCCAGGAGCTGGATGACCCTCTGAGGCCTGCAGACAGGGGAAAGGAGGGCCAGGGACACTGGTGGCCACTGCACCAGAGAGGAGGCCACCGAGCTGCCACCCAGGAGCTCCCTAGGAGGGTGGTGTGGGGGCGCCACCGGGAGGAGAGCCACAGCACCCACTGATGCCTCTAGTTTCTCTGTGACCTGTATGGCAGCCTCCTGCTTAGCAGCATGGGCACAAGCCCGACAGTCTGGAAGAAGAGGGAGACAAGAACGGCCGGCATGCCAGGGATGGGCACTAGCTGCTGGAGGGGAGGGTGCCAGGCTGCGCCATGGCCACAGACTCAAAGTGCCTAGCGTGCTGGCATGGTGACTGAAGTGGGGGTGGAGAAGAGGGGGCAAAGGTCCTGAGGAAGCTAGAGATATCCTGTTGGCTCGGGGCTCTCAGCTGGGGCAGAGCAGGTGCGGAGAGAGTCGGCAGAGAGGCAGGGTCTCCAGACTGGGGTCTCCGTATGCCCCAGTCCTCCTGAGCGGATGGTGTTAGGGATGCTGGTGGCCAAGGTAAGGCCGTGCCCAGAGATCAGGAGTGGGAGGACAGGGTCAGAAGAGGGAAGGACCCCTCTGGGTGAGAGCTAGTCTTGGGGTGGCTGCAGGGAGCCACCGAGTGGCAGGAGAATGGTGGCCCTTGCAGAGCTCTTTCAGAAAAGGGTCTTTGACAGGGCTGATGTTCACCAAGGCAAGGACAGCCTCCTGGGCTGGCAGTGCAGGGAAGAATGCTCTGCCCCTTCCCAGGAGGTAGAAAGCTGCAAACAGAGCTGGCAACTTCAGCTTTATTGAAAACACTCAGTAATTTCTGGTAATGACCAAGCAGATCTGCAGAACAAGCTCTCCTGAAAGGTCATTTATCTGAGAGAAGAAAATTATTCCTTTTCCTGGGGGCTGTCATCTTTTGCTTTAATTAATATCAAACGTGTACGCTCTTGGCAGTGGCTTCAAGTGTTTGAGTGGACTTCCCATGACATTTTTAATAAAAGAAATGTAAATCCTCCCAGGCTATCGTGGGGCTCTGGGTGCTCATCAGCACCTTCCCCGTTGCACAGGAGCCCTTGTGGCAGGCAGATACCAGCCTACCTCGTATCCCCCAAAGCCTCATCATTCATTCATTCACTGTCTGCGAAGGCAACATGGAAGAGCAGGCTGTCTGCATTTAAATCATGGCCGTCCAGGCAAGGATGCTTAGCTCTCTCCAACTGAACTTCTTCTAGGAGAAAATAGGGCAAGAATAGCACCAGCTTCACAAGATTGCTTTCTAAGTCACATCAAATACTTTTGGGGGCATTGAATCCACCAGCTTTCCGGTCACTTGGGCAAAATAGTGGATACACACGACTTGAGGAGAAGTTTATTTGCCTAATGGTTTCAGAGGGTTTAGTCCAAGGTTGTCTGGCCCCAGGCAAAAATGGCATGGTAGAAAGAAGAGCTTTGTGGAAGAGGAAAGCTGCTCAAGCCATGGCAGCCAGGAAGGAGAGAGAGTGAGTGACCAGGCTATGCCCCCAGTGACCCACCCCCTCCAACCAGGCCCACCTCGTAGCAGCACATTCAGCTATGAAATCATCTATGAAGAATCCACTGATGGGTACAGTGCCCCATGATCCAGTCACCTCCTGGAAGCCCCTCCTCTGAACACATGAGGCTTTTGAGGGAAGTGCATTTTAGACCTAAACCATAAGAGGGGGACTTATCACAGGTAAACTGGCTATGGCTGGAGTGATTTGGCACTATGCCCATCCCCGGTGCCCCCAGCACAGTGCCCAGGCACCAGGGCATGCAGCTGATCTAGACAGACTCAGGTTCTGTGCTTCAACCCCAGGACCCCAGGACTGTCTTCTCCTCTCTTGGGATGGCCTTGGCTTGGACCCCACTTTGCTGTGGCCGTTTATGTCTCTGAGTAACAGAAGCAGCAATGGGACCTGGAACTCTCAGAGCAGAGAGAGGGTGGCCCAGGGATCCGGGTGGGGCTCAAGATGCAGGGACAAGGACGGGGGCTTCTGCTGCTCTCCATGCAGCTGCTTTATGTTTATTTTGTTTCCAATGAGAGAGGCGAAGTGGAGGCTGGGGCAGGATTTCGCCCAAAATCACAGAGTGGATTCTTCCTCCAGGAATCCGGAGAAGCTCACATTCTCAGGAACGAGCCTGATAAGGGGTTGGCACTGTGATTCCCAAACCCTTGAAAGGCCCTCCGTGGGGTGCCAGCCCCTCGGTGCTGAGCACAGTGGCCTCACCCTTCTGGGCTGTGCTGCTTCCTTGCTGTTTCCAGAGGCCCAGCGAGAGCAGCACAGAGGACTTCGGCTTCCTAAGCCCCCATCTGCAGGTGTGACACAGTGCCCAGCACCCCCTGTCCCCCAAACAGTGGCGTGATCACTCCCTGCAGGCAGGGCACCCTCACACCCAATCACAACGGGCCACCCAGTCCAGAAGTGACGCAGACACCCCAGCGATGTCTTCCACAGCAGAAAGGGCCAGGATCAGGCCTGGCTCCTGGCTGCTGGGCCTCCCGTTTCCCTGCACAGCAGTTCTGCAAAGTCCTTCATGGGGTGACCTTGACGCTTCCGGGGACGACGGGCTGTGACTCTGCGGAGTGCGTCTCCGGTGCCCTGACGCAGTCCACTTCCGCACGGAAGAGACGGAAGTCCCTCGTAGGGCGCAAGGCTCGGCCCCATCCAAGCTTTGGTCTGAATACGGCAGTGAAGAAGCCAGGCAGCCGCTCGCTAAATTCTAATAGCCGTCGCCAACTCGGCCTCCAGAGCGCCACCCGCTTCTCGTCTCCCGAGCAGTGTGGGCGAGAACCTGTCTCCCTGTGTGCTCTCCAACTCTCCACGCTGGCACATTTACATTTTTGCCAATCTGATGCAAAATATGTCAAATCACTTTGCATTTTCCTTTTCTACTGATACATTGAGCATCTTTTAGTTTGTGTATTAACCCTTTATAGTGCCCATTCTATATCTTATCTACTCACATCCTTTTCCTATTTTCTAACTGAATACATTCTTTATTTATTTAATTTATTTATTTTTTGGTACTGGGGATCGAACTCGGGTCCCTGCGCTTGCGCGGCAGGTGGAGAAACCACTGAGCTAAATCCCCGGCCCTAAATTCTTTATTTTAAATACTAATCCTTACTTTGTTATTTAGCTGTGGATATATGTTTGTTATATATGTAGTAAATATATATGCTATTTATGTTCATGTAAATAAATGTATGCATGTTATAAATATTTTCTCCTTATCTGGCACTTCTCCTTTAACTTTTAGCTTTCTTCACACAGGCTCTTAAATTCTGTAGTTTAACTTATGAATTTTGCTTTTCCATAAGTGCTGCTTAAAACTCAAGACCATAAGCATATTTTCCATGTTTTCTTCTATTACTCTTGCAGTTTTAAAAAAAATTACACTTTTGTTCTGCTAATTTTTGTTGCTGGTGTGAAGGAGGATTTTAACTTAATTTTTTTTAGGTAATGAGTTGTCCTAACACTTATCAAATAGCCCACTCCCCCCACTGATACAAAATACCACTTTTGTCCATCTACTAAATTCCAGTATATACATGTGTCTGCTTTTTTATCTTCTATTTTTCTTCCAAGATCTATTTATCTATTCATGTGCTAATATCACATTATATTTATTAAAATTGCTTTATAATATGCTTTGACATCTTGTCGGGCAAAATTCCCCTCTTTGTTTTTTCTTTTTCAATCTGTCTTGGCTATTCTTGAACATTTATGCTCCCTCCTAAATATTAGAATCAGCCTGTCAGGTCCTATTAAAATCTTGATCAGGTTTTGATTGGGGCTGTGTGGAATTTATAGATTTATTGGGTGATTCAGGTGGAACAAAATAGTAATCCTAGCACTGAGATGCTGCCCCGGGGACGTGCGTGTGGGGACTGCTGAGTCAGGAGCCCACATGTGGGATACACATAGGCATGCTTCGTGGGGAATGGTCTCTGGCCTCTGGTCCCTGGCACGTGGCACTTGGTGGCACTGTGTGTCCTGTCTGAATCACCCGAGACCCCGGGGATCCCTATAGAGGCTCTGTAGGGGCCTCTATGAGATACGAAATCCCACATGGGGAAGACCAAGCCCATTCACCCTCATCACCAGTGACAGTGGTGGCTGCCGTGTGAAGGACTAGGGCTAGTGTCAGGTGAGAGACTGGGACTGGATGCCCTGGGGTCTGTCCCCAGTGTGGGTCAGGGACAGGCACCTGGAGACAGGCAGCTGGTGTCTCCAGGGCTGATAGAATTTATTCCCACATAGATTTCAGTGTTTGTTTATTAAAGGATAAGCAATACAATGTGCTAACTTGAAGCTCACATATAAATATACACACATAACATATGTATAATTATACTATCATTATTAAAAATTAACAATGGCCAGGCATGGTGGCATAGGCCTGTAATCCTAGTACTCTAGGAGGCTGAGGCAGGAGGACTCCAAGTTCAAGCCCAGCCTGGGCAATTCAGAGACTTAGCCAGACTAAAAGAGCTGGAGATGTACCTCAGTGCAAAGGCCCTGGGTTCAATCACCAGTACACACACACACACACACACACACACACACACACTCAACAGGTTGTGGCAATTGTTTAGAACTCTGACCAACAGTGTTCCTGGGTGGAAAGAGAAGTATCACTAAAAGGTCAGTAATTCTGAAATTAATATAACACTTAATGCAATTCCAGTGAAAATTTCTATAGGTTTTTTGGGAGAAGAAAAATTAGACAAAGTAGTTTAAAAGTTTACATGGACAAATAAGTACTAAAGATTTGGCAAGAAAAGGTTTAAAGGACTGTAAAGGGAGAGTGGCCCTATGAGATAATGAAACTTGCTATGAATCCTTTATGATCACTGTCTTAGCTACTTTTCTTGTTGCTAAGACAAAATACTCAACATCCAAAATTAAAGAGGGAGGGCTGGGGATTTAGCTTAGTGGTTTCGCCGCCTGCTGCGCAAGTACAAGGACCCGAGTTTGGTTCCTGGTACCAAAAAAAAAAATTAAAGAGGGAAAGGTTTATTTTGGCTCACAATTTGCAGAGGTTTCAGTCCATAGTGAGCTGAGTCCAGAGCAGCATGGCACAGCAGAGGGGCAGTGCAGAGGAGAAACAGTCTATGGCAAAGCAGGGTGAGCAGAAAGCAGCAAGCAGCAAGCAATGGCAGTGCCGGCAATGGTGGCAGGAGCAGCAGCAGCACCAGCAGCAGCCTGCCTCTCCCTTTTATCCTATCCAGGCTATCAACCTTTTGGGTGGTGCCACCTACACCTAGGGTGGGCCTTTCTTAACCCCAGCATCACACACCGGAGGTCCAGCCACCTCCTAAAAGCCCCACCCATGATTGCGTGAGGCTTTGAGGGGGAATGTCTAGATACAATCACATACAGAAAAAACTTCGACAGAAATCAGTGGATACAGGTCAGAGGGGAAAAAATTGTTAATCAATTTTTCATTGCTATGACAAAAACCTGACATAAACAATTTAAGAAGAGGAAAGATTTATTTCAGCTCACGATTTCAGAGGTTTCAGTCCATGGTTAGCTGGGACCATTGCTTTTAGGCCTGTGTAAGGCAGAAATAACATGGCAGAAGAGTGTGGCAGAAGAAAGAGGCACACCTCATGGCAGCCAAGAATCAGAGAGAGTGAGAGAGAGACAAGAGAACAAGGGACCAGGGGCAAGATAGAATTCCCAAGGTCAGGTCTCCACAAACCACTCCTTTTAACTGGGACCCACCTCCTAAGAGTCCATTCTTAAGTCACCAGTGGATTCATCTACTGATGACATTAGCACCCTTGTGTTGCAATCACTTATCAAAAGACCATCAGCTGGTCTTTGGGAGACATTATAGATCCAAACCACAAGAAAACGAGAGTTCACAGTCACATGCAAATAAACCTGTGTACCTAGGGTTTTTTGAGCAGCGAGATTAAAAATTTATTTGAAAAGTAAAGGTACAACCACAAGGTGAGAACAGCCCGGAGAGAAGAGCCCGCAGCCCTTTGTACCCTGCACTGATAAAAGTGCTATGTCAAGCAGAGGGGAAAAGGAGATAATTTAATGAATGGTTTTGACATAACTGGCTATCATCTGAAAGGAAGTAGTTATGTGCTTACCTCACACCTTATGCAAAAATGAATCCCAGTAATAACAAATGTTAAATCTAAAACAATGAAAACTGGAGAGGAACTCAATAGAGGATTTGAGCTCCAGAAAAACAATTAGCAATCATGAAGAAAGAGGGCTAAACAGTGATTATGCAATCCAAGAGAGGAAAAAGGATGAAGAAAATTGAGAGCACCAGAGACATGTGCAGCATCTTTAAGGGCACCGACACAAATCTAATGGCAGTATGGAAGGAGAAGAGAGGAGGAAACAGAAAAAACCCAGAGATCATGGCTAATACACCCCCATACTAATCTACATATCCAGGAAGCTCCGTAAACTCAAACTAGGACAAATGCAAAGAGATTCACAATCATCTCAGTGAAAATACTGCAAGCCAAATACAAGGAGAAAGTCTTGGAAGCAGAGAGAAAAGTCAGATCAGCTCACAGGGCGTCCAGTAAGGTTAAGGGCCAAACTACAGAAGACAGCAATCTGAAAATGAAGTTAGGAAAACTCTTCTATTACCAAAGGTATCAAAAAGAATAAATGGTTAGGGATAATTTAACAAAAGGAGTGCTAGAAGTATACTCTGAAAACTGTAAAACATTGTTGAAAGAAATGAAAGAAGATATAGAGAAGCATCCCATATTCATGGATTGGAAGACTTGGCATCATTAAAATGGCAAAGAGGGCAGGCGATTTAGCTCAGTGGTTTTGCCGCCTGCTGCGCAAGCACAAGGACCCAAGTTCGATCCCCGGTACCAAAAAAAAAAGATTAAAATGGCAAAGTTTCCCAAATCACCTTCAGATTCAATTGATCCCTATTGGAGTCCCAACTGACTTCTGCATATACAAGATGACCTTTAAATTCTGAAATTCACATGGAATTGCAAGAGACCAAGAAAGCCCAACTCAGTCTTGAAAAAGAGTAGGAGGACTCAGGCTTCTTGATCTCAGAACTTACTCCAGTAATAAGGACTATTGGGCTGTACCAAAAAAAAAAAAAGGACTATGTGCTACTAAGAAGATGAGGGACACGCAGATCAACAGAATAGAGCTGTCACATGGGTCATTCCAGGGCTGGGCTCAGCTGGGGGCAAACTGGCTTTGTAAATACGCTGTGATGGTTTGGGATGTTGTCTTGAGCATGTACTGTGTTCTTGCATTTTAAAAAACAAAAGATTTTTCTTACAAATGGCTCAAGTTTATCCTTCTTTATGGCAGAGTAGTACTCCATTGTGTGCAAATACCACATTTTCTTTATCTGTTCTTAAAATGGATGCACCTTGAGACCATGATGTTAAGTAAAACAAATCAGACATCCAAGCTTAATATTGCATGGTCTCTCATATATGAGAAACCTACATTATAAATAAAGAGCAAAAATAAAGATAGATAATAGGAAGTGAGGAGGGAGATCTTTCTCAAAGGGTAAGGGAATAAGAGAACGAGGGAGTGGGGAGGGAAAAGGGGTGAAAAAGGAATTGAGATGTGTTATGTACATGTACCAGTGCTACATAGGAACGTAAATATTATGTACTACATACATGCACTCATAAAAATAATAAAAAATAAAATTAAAAAAAGATTTAAAAAAGCTGGGACACAGGGTTTGAGGGCTTTTCTTTGATCAGAGGTTAAAACTGCTTTCTGCAGGATCTTCCTTTCCAGTTCTCAGCTTTGCTGGCAAAAAGGGTTCTTTGAAGCAGTCAGGAAAATTGTGCAAGAAAACAAGGGAGGAAAGTGGCTCCCGCTCTTCTGGCCTGGGGAGTAAAGATTGATGGCCAGGATGGGGGTGAGGAGGAGGAGGAGGGAGAGGAGGAGGAGGAGGAAGAGGACAGCAGTTGATAGAGGTTGAAATTTCCGATGTCCACTTCCTCCTTCCCCATCCAACCTTCTTTCAGGCCCAAGACGAATCTTCTGCTCACAGATGTGGAAACTGAGGCTTGGCAAGGTTATGGGACCTGTGTGGGGTCCACATCTTGGAAATTCTTACACTTCTTCCCTTCACCCTGCCTGCCGGGCCCCCTCCCTAACCTGACTGAAATCTGCTTCCCTCATCGACAGCAGCCGTGGGCTCTCAGAGGTTTGCGGCAGCTCTGATCTGTTGCGTCTATGGGGGAGACCTGCATTATTCAGGCCCATAGAATATTCAGGCAGCCAGGCAGAGGCACCGAGCTGTCAGGGCTGGCACAGGAGCTGTTCTGTCCCAAAAAGCCCCCATGGGCTGGGATGCTGCAGGGCTTGGAGAGGCGGCTCACAAGGACAGATGTGTCCTGGCCTGACCCAGGGGTGGGGCTGTCTCTGCCACCCGATGGATGCCCTCATCTGGGAGAATGCATTATTGAGCATCAGACTCTTTCCAACCAGACTCTGGACAAAAGGGCTCAGCTGTGCCCCCGCTGGCGGGAGTCCCACGCACCAAAGCACACCCCAAGTGCACAGGACCTTCCCATCAAGGACCGTCCTGCAGGGCGCCAACCTCCAGTAGCAAAGCCAGGGTCTCGGGCACCCTGCTCTCAGCACTGTTCCAGCCATCTGACCTGCCAGGTGGACAATCCGGGTTCTCTGGCTGCTCTCACCTCCCCCAGGTTCAGTGTACATGGGTTCCCTAGACACCCGGATCCCACACTTACAGACATGGCAAAGGTGCTGGCTACCAAGTGGGGCTCCTGCCTTCCAGAGCTGACTCCCACCCCAGGCAAGGTGACCCTGCCCACTGTCCCCTCTGGGCTCTGGATATTTTGGAGGCTTAGAAGGCTGGAGCCTAAGTCTGTCTGCCTGTGTGTGAGCTTCCGGTCTCATCCCATTTTATAGATGGGGACTCTGAGGCTCCCAGTGCACTCCTGGGTCCAGACCAGGATTCCTCCACTGCAGCCCCTGAACACTGTGAGCCACCAGTTCCTTGCTGAGCATGGACGGTCCTGTGCACTCCAGGATGCTTCCCAGAATCCTGCCCTGTCCTCACTAGATGCGGGGGGCATCATTCCAGGATGACAACTGAAAATGTCTTCAGACCGCGCTTAATTGCTAAATGTGTGCAAAACTCTTCTCCAGCTGCGAACTACTGGTGTGTGGGTGAATTCCTCAGGGGGCCCTGTGGCCCCTGGCCACTCTGCCAGCTGCCTGCTGCAGTCCCTGTTCCCTCCCAAAGATGTCCTCGTTAGGACCGAGAAAGAATAATCCAATTATCCCCATTTTTCAGAGAAAGAAACAAAGGTTGAGTTTAAAAAAGAGGTTGAAATTGTTCAAGATCACACTGTAAGTCAGTGGTGGAATTAGAATTCAAATGCTTCTCTCTTCCACAGCATCTTCCTCATTTGTGCTGAGATCCTGAACTCTCTCAGCTAATCAACAAACACAGAATTTATTGAGTAGATACTATGGAAGTGGTCCTTTTCTAGATCTTGACGAAACAGCCGTCAACCAAAAACTCAAGGGTCCAGGTCCTCCTGGAGTGGGAGGCCTGTGTGTGTGTGTGTGTGTGTGTGTGTGTGTGTGTGTGTGTGTGTGTGTGTGTGATAACCAAGCACTCAGGTGGAGTGGGGTGGAAGGCAGTGAGATCGCCAGGCTTTCACATCCATCCGCAGTAATAAAGCCAGCCATCCTGCCCCGGCAGGAAGCTGGTGTCCGCAGCAGTGTCAGCTGCCACGCCTTTTCCCTTTTCCCTTCTCTGCATCCCTGTAACTGTGAGAGGGGGCCCAGCCCGGCTGTGCAGACCTGGACGCCCCTAAATGATGCGCACCAGTCCCATGTCCATGTGGAGGTCTGCAGAAGTTTCAGCTCCCATGAACTGCCCCATAGCAGCCGGCCGTTTCTCCAGCGCTGGCCTCTCCTGGGCGGGAGGACAGGCTTGGCTGTGGGGGCCGTGAAGCACCTTCCTTCTTGGCTGTGAAGCGAGGCGTTTGCCACTGTTTGGCAGCAGGTATGGAGGACACACGCCGGCCAGGGGCTTTCAGCCCCACTCCGTAAGTGGCCACAGGACCTCAGAGCAGGACAGAGCCACGCCCCCAGCACAGCCACACCCACCCCAGGCTTCCTGCTGATTGGACCAGGAGTTGTAGGCTGAATCAAAGACAAAAATACTTGGTGGAGGGGAGTTCTGCCAATAGGAATGCTCCATTCTGGAGCGCAACAACGGGAGCCAATCAGAGTCCCTCACGGGGGAATATAAATGCTCAGGGACGGCTGTTCACCTGGGGTGTGAGAACGTCTCCTCCATCCTTCCCGGAAGGCCTGTGTGTCCCTGCCCTGCGTACGTGCAGCTCGCTGCCTTTGTCCAGCAGCTTTGGATACCCGGCCAGCGCCCTGGAACTGAATTTCCAGGTCGTGCCGTGTCCCCACTTGAGAATGCAGGAGGTCACTGGACACGGACCGAGATTGGGACCTCTGGAGGTGAGCAGAAGCGGTGTAGGGACAGCTGGCCGGGTGGACTCCCGGTGAATCCCACAGCTCCGCAGATAGACTGTGGAAGTGGGGCGTTGCAAGGCCCAGAGGTACTGATCGACATTAATATTTATAAAAGAGGTGGCTGAAAAAAAAGGAGGTGGCAGTTTCTGTACTGAGAGTGTCTGTCTGGTGGCCCCCAAGGCATTAATTCTTAGGCCCAGGGAATTGGAGCACAGGGCCCTAGAAACTCAAACTCCCTGCTTCGCAGGCAGGAAAGGCAGAGCCTGGCCCCACCCAGCGCTGTATGCCATTTTCTTTGCTTGGGAGTGAACTCCAGGCCCCTTCCCTTTCACCCCATCGTGTTTCTCTGGTTGGCTGTGATCAGAGAGCTAGCCACTTGTTTGCAGGAAGTATACTGGTTGCTGGCCTATGGTGGCATTTTATACAAACCATCTGTAAAGCTGGAAAAGCCCTCAGTACTAAGATGGGGAAACTGAGGCGCTGAGAGATTAGTAACTCACCAAGACCATAGCCTCAGAAAGTGGTGTAACTGGGACCTGTAACGGGACTTCTGATCTCACCTCCTCCCCACTCCGGGCCACCTGGCTGACGTTTGAGTTGGCTCTTGAAAGCTAATGCTGGAAGGGCCGGGGATTTAGCTCAGTGACACAGCGTCTGCCTGGCAAGCACAGGCAGTTTGATCCCCAGTACCGAAAAAGAAAAGAAAGGTCATACGGCAAAACATTCCCTTACACATGTGCCCATTCATTCATGTAGCAAGCTTATCTCACAGTTCTATTACTTTTCTTCTTAGTCTTCATACATTTTTTTTTGTTAAATTCTTTTATTGGTACATTGTAGGTATACAACACAATTACATTGCTCGTTGGGAATTGTACCTTTACATAATGCATCTTGGTTCTTATTTTTTCCCCATTCCTAGCCCTCCCTTCCCTATTTACAAAGACTTTATTTCCATTTTTTCCATTTCTCATCATTTTTCCTTTCCCTTCTTTCCTTTCCCCTGCCCCTCCCACTACCCCTACCCCTTTGGACCTTTTCTTCCTATTTTGCATTATCGATTATTCATTCTAATCATTGGTACATTTTAGCTATACAATATAATGACATTCATCATTGGAAATTTGCACCTTTACATAGTCTCTCTTGCTTCTTATTTTTCACCCTTGCCCAGCCCTCCCTTCAGCCCCTCCATCCCTCCCTATTTACAAAGAGTTCCTTCCCCTTTGCCCCTTTTCTTCCTATTTCACATTACACATACATTTTTGTTTATTTTATTGCTTTTGTATTTGTCTGTGAGCTCCTTGAAGTCAGCATCCCAAGTGCCTAGCACAGTGCCCGCCTACAAGGAATGTTGGCTGAGTGTTGAATGAACCACAGGAAATTGAGAGTCAAGACGTGTTTAATTGTTGGATGAAAGGGTTAGTGATCAAGCCTGAAGGAACACATGGATGAGTGAATGCACTAATCAGAAGCTCCGTCTTCTCATCTGTAAGGTGAGGTGAGGCCATTAGTTATTGCTATCTGTCTACTACAGGCAGGGGGTTTGATAACACATGTGTGGCCCTCATGAGGACTGGCTCCATGATTCCCAGCTCCTTTCCTGGGTCCGAATGTGGGATGCAGTTCCCTGCCATCTCGAAGTTAGGCGCGGCTGCACGACTTCTTAGGTAAATGAAACGTGAGCCCAAGGAGTGAGTGTCCTTTGGAGTAAGGGTTTTAGAAGCTAGTGAGAGAGTTGCTGTGTCCGCCATGGGGACGACCATGGAGTCTGGATCCACATGGCTTTCTGGCTACTTCAGGGCCCCCAAGGACCGTGACGAGCTGAGCTCCTTGGCCAACCTAGGTTGAATATAATGTGAGCCAGAAGTGCACTTTGTTGGTGTGGAGCCACTGAGAGTTTGAGGTTGTTACCACAGCGGAGCTTTGCCCCCTGACCAGGGAAGGCTGTGCAGGGCCGGCAGCAGTGTAGGTGTCCACAGATAGTGGCTGGTGAGAGTCCCGGCTCTGTGGGCCTTCTCTTTCCTGGATACCGGGGACATTGTCTAGGGACAGTGGAGACATTTTCCTCTAGCTCTTTCCCAGTTGGCTCTGCTGCAGGGAAGCAGAGAGACCCAGACATGAATGAAGTCGCCACTTGTTTGCCGTGAGAGAGCAAGAAAAAGCCACAGCAGTGCTGTGTTTGCCTTATTAAGGCTCATTTTCTCATTGCAATTTTCCCTCCTAATTGCTAATTTTTCCAGCTTCTCCAAGAGCCACTCTACTTCTGCCCGTGTCCTCCCTACCCCACTCCAAGAGCTGGTGCTTCGCGAAACTGACACAGATGGGCCAAAGAGAAACACACATGCTTGTTTTTAATTTACTTGAAATCCTCTTTTCTTGGTGCTACTGGGGTGGGCAGCTGCCAGGTTCTTGTGGCCACGCGGCTGGGGTCTCAGCCCTGAGGACCAGCCCGGTGGGGGAGGGCTGGGTCCCCCCCATGACTCCCTCCCGCGGGGCCTGATCTTTTGGCGGTAGGGTGGCCCTTTCCTGGTCAGGACTTCTGAACCTTGAGGGGACCTGGGCCCCTGAGACCTTGGCTGCTGAGGCTCTCCCTGGGTGTGCACCCCTATGCATCCTGAGCCGTGCCGGGGGCTTCTTCACTAGGCCAACTAGGCCTCTGGCATCCTCCTAGTGGGGTGCGGGCAGTTATCACCCCCATTTTCAAGGAGGAGAGTAGGCTCGGAGAACTGAGGTGCCTTGGCCAAGGCTGCCCCTGTAGGTGCAGCTCTGCTCTGCTCTGTCTGTCTGTCTGCCTGTCCTGCCTACAGCCTCCTACACCAGGGCCCTGCCCAGAGCAACAAGGGCCCTGCCATGAGGGACAGAGCCTCTTTCTGTCCTTCTCCCAGCCAGGTTTCTTTCTTTCTTTTTTTGGTCCTGGGGATCGAACTCTGGACCTTGTGCTTGCGAGGCAGGCGCCAGAACCACTGAGCTAAATCCCCAGCCCTGAGCCAGGTTTCTGTCAGCTGTTCCCCCACTCACTGGCCACAAGCTTCAGTTCGAATGTAGTTTGTCCCCCCTGAAACGCATGCTAGAGTTGAATCCCCCTGGTGAGGTGTTCAGAGGACGGAAATCCAACCTGACCGTGGGGTTCACAGGTGGAGTTTGGGGAGGTGAGGAGTCCTTCAATCCTCCCCTGGGACCGGATCCTGGGAGAGTCTGAGATCTGGGGTTCCAGGCACAGCAGTCTCTTGTAGTCTTGGTGTCCGGGGGCAGGGAAGACAGACTTTAGATGCTGTACTGTGGGTAGGGCCAGGCACCCCGCCCAGATCTGGGAGCTGGAGAGTGCAGTGGCCTGTTGCTGTCACACTGCCCTGTCACAGGAATCATGGCCCTCACCCCTGGGCCTCGGACTCAGCACCTGGGGAAGCAAGGTCCAGATCTCCCCACTGGTGATGGGGACTAAAGTATACGTGCTGTTCTTTTAGCTCAGTGCCTGACATCGAGTAGACACTCCTACGACGGTGGCTGCTACAGCTGTGTAGTGTCGTCATCCTCTCTGCTTTAAAGATTTTTTTCAGAGCTGGAGAAAGTCATTGCTATTACAGGCCAAAAAGCTCACCTAGTTCAACTTCTGTTCTTTATGAATTGGGAAGCAGAGGTCAGGAGAGGGGAAACCGTGTGCTCAGCCTGGGTCCCAGAGATGGGCAGGGCTGAGTCTAGGACCTGAGGCTCCCAGCTCTTTCCACTTTTCCTTCCCCTCTCCTCTCTCCATTCTTTATGAGCAGGTAAAAGCACATCTGCAAAGAACTGGACACACGCGTCAGCTCTCTTGGAAAAGGTCCGCCAGGCACAGGCCCTGTTGAGCAATGGGTCAGCCCCAGGAGCTGTGTCCTCCACCAAGGATGCCAAAGGTTGGTGGCAGCAGGGCCCCCAAGGTGGGTGGAGCAGCTCCACATCTGGGGGCTCTGGGCTACGGCTGATGTCACCGGGCAAGAAAAGGCCCTGGCCCCGGCGTCTGTGGAGTCACCTGCACTGCCAGACACAGCCTCTACTCCCGGGACGTGAGCCATGGCACTGCCACTCGCTTGACCGGCCAGCTCTGCTCCTCTCAGGCTGGTCATGGCTGCGATGCTTGTTGGGGTGATCATGCTACTTCCACTGCTGCGCTGCAGGTCCGTGAGCTCAGGGCCTGTCTTCCCCAGCCCGTCCCCACAGACTTCAGGCCAGGGCCCAGGAGTCACCGGGGCCTCATACGACGGGAGGAATGAGAGCAAGCTTGCTGTGCGGAATCCTCTGTGTTTCTTGGCCAGTTGTTAGGTTAGGAAGTTTCTCTCTGTCCGACTTTATTATTATTGTGGTTGTTATTTTATCCTCCAAATTTTTATTATTATTTATTATCTGCGAGGTAAGGATTCATAGTTTATGGATTAGAAAAGAGAGCCTTAGAGTTTCAAGCTTCCTGCCAGCATGGTAGCTATGAGCCACCTGTAGCTATTAAATTAAAACTAATTACAGTTAAATAAAATGCAAATTCAGATGTTTTTCAGTCCCTCCCGTACATTACTGCTTTTCAAGTGCTCAGCAAGCACGTGTGACCCCTGCGGGCCAGTGTAGGAGGCCTGTTGGTGACACTGGTGGGGTGACCGCCAGGAGGCCGCCTGGTCATTGAGTGAGGGTGGGGACTGGGGACGAGGGTCCTCTGACTTCTAGCCTCAGTGCTCTCCGGGGTCCCCTGCAGGTGGAGCCTGGGGGGAGGCATGGAGTGTGGGGAGGGTCAGACGTTGTCCAGGCCAGGACTGGTCACCTGCACCTTGGACACGGGGCCCACCTTGCTGGGGCAGGTCAAGGGTGGGTGCAGGAATAGTCTTTCATCTTCAATAAAAGCAGCTTCTGCTTCCTGTTTTGGATGACACTAGCAGGTGCCGCGGCACAAACTGCATGCAAGCACGGCCACGGCTGTCACTGCCTTGTAAGAGGAGTGGGGTCCTCCTCAGCAGGCGGCTTGGGCCCGCCTCAGGTGTGGCTCCTCCTTCCCCAGAACTGACCCAGCCTGGAGCGCTGGGCCTCTGAAAGGGCTCCTGCTCGTCCCGCTTCTCGGCACGGCTGGGCAAAACTGTCCAGAGCCCTGCGACCACACCTCCCATTCATGATCCAGGGGAGGACGTGGGGTGCAGAGACTCACGCGGGGTACAAGGCAGGAGGCCTGTACCCCTCTTCCCCGGCCCAAGCTTGGCAGAGAGCAAACTTTCTCAGCCTTGGGCCACAGCTTTCGGTTTTAGCACCTCTGTCCTGCAGTCACCCAAGGAGCTGGTGGCCCTGGGCGCCCCTTTGGAATAGGCTGGGCCTGGGCCTCTCTCAAGTGGCTTCCCCAGCCCCTTCCTGCTCTCCAACCCTGGGGCTCAGGAGTCCTGATTGTCCCCTTTTGCCCACCCTCAGCATCGCCTATGGACGGGGCGTTCCTGATGCTCCTCAAAGGCCCACAGCAGGGAGAGAGGGAGAAGAGGAAGAAACGGAATTCGGGTGAGAGTCAGCCACTTGGGGAATAAACTTCGAAGCTGCTGGTCTTGGCAATCTGCCTTATTTCACGGGTGCTGCTGCGGACTGGACGTCTGCATCCCCACAACTGTGAACTGGGACTTGGACCCCAAGGCGATGCCATCGGGGTGGGGCCTTGGGGAGGTGCCAAGTCAGAGCTCTCATGAATGGGGTCCTTGCAGGAGAGGACGTGGCGTGTTCCATGACCGCTGGAAGGACAGGGACAAGGAGGGTGCCAGTGCCCCTGTTGGAGGGACTAGGGCTGGTGTCAAATCCCACCTCTGCTGGCCTGCCCTGGGGTCTTCAGCTGGGGAGGGTGGGAGAGGCCCTTTTTGGAGCGTCGGACTCCAGCATGGCCCTGGACCAGGCTTGGAAAGGCGGCTGTGGAGGCGCCTCAGGGAAACGACACTCATCCGCCCAGACCTGGTCCTGCCCCAGGGGCCAACTTGCGCTCACCCTCAACTTCTTTCTTCCTTGTTCTCTTGCCACTGCCTCTCCTCTCCTCCCACTTGTCCTTGTCACTGCTCCATCACCGCCAGCTTAGTGCCTTAGCCTCCTGACCAGTCTCCCTGCTGCCACCTCTCCTGGTCCCTCCCAGAAGCAGCAATGCCCCTGCTGAGACCCGTTAGGATGCCAGGGGCCCCCGGAGGAAGAGCAGCGGCTGTGGGTGCTCTAGCCATTGCTGCCCACAGCCACACCTTCGTTCCTCACATGGCACTGGGCTTCTGTGGTCCGCCTGCCTCTCACTGAGCCCTCCTCCGGCTGTCCTGTCCCCCAGGCCCGGGGACAGCTTCTCCAGCTTCTCCTTCTCCTCCCCAGCTCATGCCGCTCCTCTGCATGGAACCCCCTCCCGATCCACGTGTCCCAGCCTCCCACCCCTCTGTTCAGGTCCAGGCCCACCTCCTCAGGCAGCCTGGCTATTCCTGCAGGGACTGCCTCCCTCTCTCCAGCGTCCAGCTCTGCAGCCCTCCTGCTCTCCCTCCTCCTCCTCCTCCTCCTCTTCCTCCTCTGCCTCCTCCTCTGTGCCCCTTTGCATTCTCTGTGCCACTGTGGCCGGAGTGGGCATTCTCTCCTCCACTGGTCATCGAGCCACTCACAGAGCAGCAACAGTGACAGCTGGAAGCCAGCGTCGGGAGAGAGGAGGTCACAACCCAGGTGAGCAGCTGAGTTGCAGGCAGGCAAGGATGAGGCAGGGCTGCAGGAAGGAGGGAAACAACGGGTCTCTCCATCCCTCTCCTTCGCCTTCGCTGGCCGGCTGTGCTTCCTATCTCTGGACCTTCTACATCCTCGCGGCAGGAGACATGTCATGCACAGGGATTGCCTACCTGGCTCGATGCTCACAGGGGACTGTGGCTAAAGGAAGTTATGCAAAAACAGGCTGCCCCAGCACAGCCCTGGGGAATGGAAGGGGTTTCTAGGGATGGAGTCGGGGTGGGCAGATCCAAGTGCTCACCAACACCTTGCAGGCCCAGGCCCCGCCAGGGGCCCAGGAGTGGGCGAGGGTGGGTGCAGTGGGCTGGCCTGAGAGCAGCTGGGGCTGGGACTTCCTGCCACCGAGCCTTGCCTTTAACCTTCAGGACGATCCTTGCACAGAGGAGAGATGCCCCTGTTCACTGGAGGTCATGCAGCCGATAATACTCCGCCAGAACCCCTGAGGGTGCAGGGCGACCCAGGCGCAAGGCCCCCAGCCCTGAAAGGAGAGGGAGGCTCAGGGAGGCGAAACGCCGGCCCGAGCCACGTGGCTGTGGGTGCCGGCCCAGACCCGGGCCAGGACGCTGGTTTCCTGGCCTTGGCCCGGCAGGTGTCAGGGCCCAGGTTGCGCTCTCCGTGCTGTGCCTTCAGGACCTGGAGGGCTGTGGAGCTGCCCGGAGGAGCAGGGAGAGCTCCCTGCGGCTCAGGGTCGAGGTGGAGCTGTCCTTGGAATTCTTATTTCGACTGCCCTAGAGTTTTCTCTGCCTCCGTATGTTAGGAAGAAAGAAAACAATTTAACGACAACAACACAGAGAAACTTAGATCATTTTTAAAAAATACAAAAAAGTCTGACTTATGTGAAATTTAATTTAATTTATTTTTATACCAGCAGCTGTCAGTTCAAAGAACAACAACAAAGTAGCCATCTGTGCTTAATTTCATCAATCCACTGTCGGCGGTCACGTGAGCGTGGCTTTGGACCGAGGTAGAGCACGTGGCCGCATCCCAGCCCCCAGGCCCTCTGTCCAGGCGGGAAGGGGGTGGGGCCGCGCTCGGAGCGAGGAGCCCAGCACGGGCACCGGGCGCGCAGGCGCGTGTCTCCGCGGGAGACGCAGACAGCTCCAGACGCCGCAGCTCCCACCTCTTGTCCTTTGATGAGTTTTGCCCCATGCTGGTGAGTGGGCTTTTCTGCCTTGCTGAACAGATGGGGAAACTGAGTCTCAGAAGCTTCCTCCCATGCTGATAACAGATTCAGACCTGGTTTGTTCCCCTCTCAAATTCCGGTTCTCCTTGCCACAAAATGAGGCCCCCTGAGCTTGATGCTAAGGCAAAAGACACCCTGGGGGCCTGAGGAGCTCTGCTGCTGGACTCTTAACTCTCGCGAGGCTTGGACAGGGCCTCCCCCCCCAGTCGCGGGGCGGAGCAGCTCGCTGGCTGAGGTACACCACAGCTCTCGGCCTCACTGCAGAAGAGGTGGTCAGCGTGGCTGTGTCCCCCCCCCCTCCGCCGCCCCCCGGCTCCCTTCCCAGGCAGCAGCCCAGCACCCCCAGGCCTGGAAGCGCTGCTTCCTCGGGGAGTGCAGGGCAGGTGGCCATTGCCCTCCTTCCCAGCCACCGCCCGGACCAGGAGCTAGCTCCACTCCCAGTCATAGAGTCCTTCGAGGCCGGGCAAGGCCGTCCCTCATCTCATCCAAACCGCTAGAAATTCAGTCTGGAAGAGCCCTAGCTGGCAGTGCTGGCCTTGGGACCTCAGGTACCTGCCAGGCCTCCGACAGCCTGAGGGCTGGGGCTGGGACAGGCTCGACCTTTGCTGTCCTGTAAGGCCAGCTTGTCACCCATCGCTGCAGCCTGGTCTCTCTGAAGCAGCCTGGAGTTTGGGGGGTTTCCCGGGACCCTATTTCTTTGCATTTCAGGGAACAAACTCTGGTCTCGAGCTGACCCCTTGCCATGCAGAGTAGGGAGAGTACAACCCTGCAAAATCCACTTTTACTCCCGGCAACAAAAGGCCCAAACTCTCAAAATGAAACCAAAAACATCTCCAGCAAGGAGCCCTGGGCAAATGAAGCTTTACGTACTGCGGAATCAAAAGAAGAAGACTGAGCAAGTCAGAATCATTCAAATAGAGATCAAGAAAGTCACATTTTTCGATTTGCCATATTAAAGAGAAGGGGGAAAGACGCCAATTGGCTCATCATCTTCTCATTAAATAACAGATGGCGGCTGAGTCACTGCTCCCGGCAGTCAGGACGCTGCTGGTCTCCTGGCTCCTTGCTTGGGCCAGCCACTTGGGACGGGAGGGGGTGGCCGTGGGGGGCAGCGGAGGAGGAAGCCGCCCTCCATCTGCCTCCATCCAGCCCCCTACTTGCCTACAGCCCCCATCCCGAAGACCCCGAGAGCCTGGCCACCCCTTCTCTGGTCACGAAAACAAGTGGTCCTGAGCATCACTGGTGTCTGTGTCCATGGAGGCCCAGCCTGGCCAGGAACAGGTGCTCCGAGTCCTGTGGGGAACCGGGGCTCCGGGCTCCATGTAGAGCTTGGGCAGGGATTCTTCTCCCTCAGGACCACTAGGCAGGCCTCCCCGAGTCCCAGGCTGGAACCTGCTCCCTCCCACTGATGGCCTTCCCCTGGGGCCCTTCTTTGTCTTCCCTCCCACCCAGTGACCCAGGGTCCTTCCGCCCCTCCCTCCATCCCCCGAGCACACGTGCTTATCAGGCACCTGCCACCTGCCAGGCCCACGGCAGGCAGGGTCCCTTCCCTGCAGGAGCTGGGGTCCACCACCAGAGATGGCATTTCTGGTCACCAGACGGTCACTCGCTTGTCCCTCTCTGGCCCACTGGCTCTCTTCATTGTTGCTTCTGGGGACTCGACGGCAGAGCCCCTGCTGCGGTCATTTTGGGGGAGCAGCATGTTTCAGGCCTTGTCCGTGTGGAGGGTTTGGCTGGCTGCCACCTGCTGCAGAGCAGTTTCCGCGGCTGCTGTGTCCCCCGGGCAGGGTGGGCGAGGCTATGCCGTGCTGGGCTGGGGACTTTGAACGAAGTCCCTTTGGAAGGACTGGTTTGGCCTGAGTGGGATTCCCACCCCACACTTCCTGATCTTCCTTGGGTGTTCCAGGCCAATCCAGCCCAGAGGCCTTGTGTTCACAGGATACGAGGCCACCCTGTGACCACAGTGCATACCGGGACTGGAGTTTCTGGAGGACCAATATGGCGCTGCTGTGCCCAACTGCTAGCTCCTCTCTCATGACAATGGTGTGACACCTGGGCCCACCCAGCCAGATGAACTCTACCTGGGCTCAGGAGACCCATGGGGCTCCTTTATCAGGCTCCTACTGTCTTTTTGCTTTATTAACTTTATGTTTATTAGTCCACGTTTGCAGTATGTGGTGATTCCCTTCCTGGTGGGGGTTGGTCCATGCACAAAATACATCTCGGTTGTTTTGACTTCCCCTTCTCCTGCCCTCCCTCCTTCTGTGGTCCCCCGTCCTCCAAGCGCCGTAGAGAAACTGGCTCCCTCAACCCTGGTTTCTGGGGCAGTGCTGGAGTCCGACGGGTCCCGCTGTGTACAAGTTCTCTCTGGGCCGTGGGGAGCAGCCCTGTGGCTGGGTGTGGTGAGGATGAACCTCTATCCCAGAGGGCCAGCCTGGGCACTGTGCTCGCCATCCTGAACAGGGGCCTCCAGGCCTCAGGCGCCCACAGTGGGATGTTGAGGGGGGCTGGGTGCCTGAGCCTGCTGTAGGCACCCATTGGTGCAATTGTTGCTGCTTTTCTATGGCAGTGCTCTTGCCTGCTGAGCTGGCACGGTGGGGCATGTGCACCACACTGCCCGTCATCAGTTGGAAGCAGGCCTTCCGCACCCCTGCCCGAGAGTGCCTGGCTGCCGTGACCTTCACAGACTCTTACCGTCTGGAGGATGAATTATGAAATTCTTTGCATTTTTTTGTGCAACAACATCTGGCCTCACGGCTGCACGGCCCCTGATGAATGGGCATCAGGGTCTTCTTCCTGTCCGCCCTCCCTGTTCAGAGTT